GGGGGGGTTCAAATCGAAGGCCCAGCCGGATCTCTTGTCCGATCGGCAAGCAGTGATCAAAACTTCACACCTCTCAATTGCTATCCTGTCTGATAATGACATGCAGTCTTACTAATTACTTATCCAATTACCACCAGTGTTTGCCTTTCATAGGACAACTGTTTGACCTATTAAAAACAGAAACGTTTGAACATCCTTTGCTTCCACCCATCGGTGTAACAAGTACAGTCAACCAATGCCACCCTTCACTGCCGTCATTGTAACAATGATTCGAGGAACTCTTTTCTCGGCTGGCCTTACGATCAGGGCGGCAGGCATTGGTCAATCTAATTTCACACCTCTGGCTTCTGGCTACCCAGGAAAGTTACCGTAGTGGCCAGCTACTCGAGCACTCTCACGGGTGGCTGTGAAATTTCACACCCACACTACACTGACGATCTGCATTGCTCAGGGCTCACATGATGGGGTAACATCTACCCCCAAATTGCACCCCTACTCCCCTTCCTCGCCCAGCGGCATGGTTAAAGTTTAGAGCCGGAGGAACCAAACTTGCGAGTTTTGTTTCAAATCAGGGCTGAGCTGGCAAAGCATTTTCCGTCTTTAGTCTTAGACTGGTGAAACCCTCGGAAGGGAGCAGATTTTTCTTTCCGTTTCCGCGTTGGACAGGTGTCCGGTTTATACAGGTAATTAAAGAGGAATATATCAAGGGGGGAGTGGGGAGATTCCGTTAAGACAGGTTTCTGTTAAGGCAGGTTCGACTGTACTTAAGTTGTTTGGAAGCGCTGGTTTGCCAGGTTTTATAAGGTTTCTTACCAAATTCTCACCGCGATTAATTCTAGCAAAATACATTGTATTATTTTAGGGAGGACGAATTCCGCAACGAGTGACCAATATGAAACAGAAAAGAATAGAGAGTTGTTAGGTTTAGGTTTAGGGATAGGGGTAGAGGCATGGGTAGGGTCTGGGTTTGGGCTTGGGGTAGGGGTTGGGATAGGGGTATGGGTAGGGGTTGGGATAGAGGTATGGGTAGGGGTAGGGTCTGGCCCGGGGTAGGGTGAGGGGTGTCTTTTCTTGTGTTTGTTGAAAGTTGGGGGTTGGAATGGGGTTAGGGTTTGGTGTAGGGGTAGGTCTCCTCTTTATTGTGTTTGTTTAGGGCTATGGGTGGGTTGTTGGGATAGGGGTGGAGGTAGGGGTAGGGGTAATAATAGGTCTCTTTTTTGTTGCGTTTGGTAGGGTTAGGTGTTTTCTTTATTGTGTTTGTTCAGGGTTAGGATTTGGTGTAGAGGTAGGTCTCCTCTTTATTGTGTTTGTTTAGGGTTTGGGGTAGAGGTGGAGCAGGGTTAGGGGTAATAGTAGGTCTTTTTTTTTTTGTGTTTGTTGAGGGTTAGAGGTGGGGGTGGGGTGGAGTAGGGTTAGGGTTAGGTCTCTTCTTTATTGTGTTTGTGAAGGGTTGAGGTTTGGGGTAGTGCAGGGGTAGAGTGAAGGTCACGGATAAGGGTAGGGGTGGGGTTAAGGTTTGGGGTAGGGGTAGGTATCTCCTTTACTTTGTTTGTTGAGGGTTATTTATTAGGCTGTCCCGGAAGAATTATGCAAATTTAGATGGCCAAATTATGCAAAATAAATGCCAAATTATGCAAAAATTATGCAACTTACCATAACACCATTCGCGACATGTTTTACACTTTTTCAACACGAATTTTCATGCTTTTCATGTTTTATGTACAGAAAAAATTTAAAACAGAACATATCAGTATCAGTAATTTGTTGAGTATTTGAAAAGAAAACAATGCACATCAGTAAAAAAAACCAAAAAAAAACAACCCAAAAATATAATCTCTGTAAAAAAAAAAAGGACATCTGGATCTCTGATGCTGGCACATTACTAAAACCAGGGACACCTGTCTAACATGAAACATCAGCAGACATAAGAACAACAACTTTTGATGGATTGAAAAATTGAACATGCTCAAGGAACAAAATCCCAACCCATAATAACCATGATCTTCTAACAAGGGAAATAACCAACTTTTCACTTAAATGAGACTTAGTACGGTGATTATTTCCCTTCAGTCACATGGCGAGGCGTTAAATAATTGTTTTGCGAAAAAACGCAGGGAATGCAAAATTATGCAAATGTTGCAGAATTACGCGAAAAAACGCGGCCGCAAAATCGCATAATCCTACGGGGACATATTAGGGTAAAGGGTAGGGGTAGGAACTAGGGGTATGTCTCTTCTTTATTGTGTTTGTTTAGAGGTAGGGGTATGGGTAGGTCTCTTCTGTATTGTGTTTGTTAAGGGTTAAGGTTGGGGTAAGGGTAGGGTTCGGGTTAGGACTCTTCTTTATTGTGTTTATTGAGGTGGTCGCTCGTTGCGGAGGGTAGGTTTTCTTTTCTTATAGGGTAATTGGTGTGGTGGGAGTGGGTTCAGTGGGGGGGCTTGCCTCCTTTATTAAGGTAAATTTTAGGGTTAGGTTATTTTTTTCCCATTTTTTTCTTTTGTTCAAAACACTTGCGAAATTAAATCCTTCTTTGTATAATTTTTTTGTTCACCCCTTACCCCGACACGGGTGCTTGGAAAAAAACCACAAACAAAAGAAGGTGCCGGATGGAGAAAGCAGCACTTGTCCACGGTTGCTACTCAAAAATCGGAAGTTGTTTCTTTTATATGCAAATGAGGCAGAGTCGACCCAGAAATTTACTTTTTTTTCTTTCTTTTTTTTTTAAAAAGCCGATCGCATCAGCTGTAGAAATTTTGTGAAGGAACCTCGACAAAACCCTTCAAAGTAAAAAATAATTGCGTTTTGGGAATTTTGAAAGGTAGTACACTCCCACTTCACTCAAGTAGGTTTATAAGAACTTTTTTTTACCCACTTGTAACACCAGCTGTTTGGAATAGTGGTAATGCTGCTGGACTACTAATCATGTTTGCTTCCCTCACTCACAGGTTCGAATCACAGTCACTGATTTTTCTAAACATGTCATATTATTGTGTATACTTTTAGATGTTAACATGTCACTAATAATAGATCTACCCTTTCGAGGTGAAGAGACAAAGGAAGGCAAGAGGAATACAAAGTAACACAAGCTCAGTTTACTTTCTTTACTTTCTTTATTGCCCAACCAAATACTTAACCCTATCTTTTACATAGCCCACTCAAAAGTACCTTCTTTACTGCGTAGCTTGGGGTGGTCGCTCCTTACGGAAGTCCTTCCCATGCGGATAACTTGAGAACGACAGATGTACGCCATTGGCTGATATTTATAGTAACAGCTATCTTGTTTGACGTCATTTAGGGATTCCCACTTTGTTGTTGTTCACGGTGGCAACACGACCGCAAAGCACTATTGCAGTATTTTTAAAGCCTGTAGCTTACAGTTACAGTGGCGTGGTGGAGGAGTGGTTATTGTGCTTGTCTCCAAAGCAGAAAGTCCAGGTTCGAGCCTCGGTTCGGCCGCGGATTTATTTTTTTCGCCCCTCCTGCCCACCCACCTGTAATGGGTACATGACTTCGAGTTGGAGAAGTAAAGGACAAATTTTAAATTTTTGGAGGTTTGAGAGTAAGGAAAGAACATGCAGCGCAGAGAAAACTTGAGCGCTAATGACACCAGTTTGTGACATTGTCTTTGTTTTTTTTAATGCAGTGACCTCTGCAATGTAAATAAAGCTAAATTGTGTACATTTAAACAGGGTGTTTTAAAAACATTTTTTTAACAAATTAACCAAGAGGTGAAATCAATTTACAGCTTTAGTTTTTGCAGGGTTCAAAATGTTACTGATGTGATAATTTTAAAAAGATTTAAACCCACATTGCAATCTCAGTGAATTTAGTCTAGAGATTTATAATTGAGATGTATAGCAGTGCACTGCTGATGCCGACAAATCACCTTTTTCTTATTCACAACTGTTTCGAAATATAAAGAGCATTTTGTCAGCATAACCATTTAAAAAAGGTGTTCTTCTGAAATTTGAATTCTAATTTATTAAAAAACTAGTCACTGTTTAATTTTGATTTTTTCATACAGTTCTGGAGTTGAAAAGCGTGTTATCTGGTAAATAAAAGGTTCTACAACTGAAGTGTTACTTTTATTATTTATTTCAGAAGTCAATTCTGCTCGAATTCGACTTGATGCAACCCTACAGCACTTGGTGGATAGAAAAGAAGATGGGTATGTCTTGATGCTTACTTTTTTTGTGTGAAGGCTTTTGTGTTCTTATAGTTCTAGACTACTTGAGATACTGAACTGATTTCTGCTTTCCTGAGCACAAATGGAGTGAGGATGCAAATTCATTTTTTAAAATGCCTGGAAACAAGCTCCATCAGGGATTGGTACACCTGTCTGCTTAATTGGCAAATGGTTATGTCAAGGCTGATGCCATTTTTGAGTCAAAATAGACATTGAACAGTGAAGAGTAATCACTCTTCCTTTCTGTAGCTATGTGACTATTTCTGTTCAGACAGAGGAAAAGTGACGCACAATAATGTTTTTACTCTGCACTTCAGTCTTTTCCTCTGAGTGGGATGAATGCTTTTAAGAATTTATGGAACAAGTAGTAGATGGAGGAGAATTTGAAAACGTTCCTCTTGTATTTGAAATTGGAAGATCTTGTATTTATAAAGTCTCATTCAAACTCCAAAATTTGTTCACAAGTTCAACACTCTAGGTTTTAAAAAAATCTCCTCTAAATTGTTTTTTAAACTGTTTTGACATAAATGTGTCAGGTTGCGAATTATTCCATGCTAGGACTAGAAAGAGAGTGAGAGAGTCATAGTTATTCATGTATCCTGCAATGTGCATGTTTATGTAGCTTTCGTTTAAAAGAACAAGAGTTTTTCACAGTGTGGAAACTTGTGTCAGAGCAGTCCGGTATCCTTATGATTATTATTTTGAAGGGTAAATGAAAGTAATTATGTCCATTTTCATGAATTTCATCCTCACAGCCAATCTCAGAGTGAAGGAGAAGGGAGTATGCCCCTTCCAGATTCTAGGTAAGTGGATAAAGAGACGTGTGGAAAGAAGTGTCTACCTGAAAATTTCTACTCTTGTTGGACCTTTCCTCATACCTGCAGTGTATTTTAAATGCACTGGATACAATTTCCTCCCTTTTTAAATTAAAATTTCATATATTCAGTAAGATGTTTTTTTAAAAATATTGTTGTTTATAAGCCTTCACAGACTTCAGAAATGGAGAGCTGTTTCAAAGTGAAATAACAATCTCTCATCATAGTAGAGAATCAGGGAATCTGTATGGTGTTTCAAATAGTCTGTGTTTCTTGCAGTGTGAGCAACGGTTGTTCTGATTTAAGGTCATCTTTAATTAATGAATTCCCTACTTCGTTAACACTGTGTAAAGAAATTCAATTTTGTGTACAAATATGTTCCGTTGTTATTTAAATTGACCTCCCTTTGCAGTTGCCATATCAATGTATTCTCACATTACAGTGGAACTCTGATTCAACGAAAGGAGTTGGATTCCCCGTTTTTTTAAAAATTAATGAAAATCAATAAAAATAACTCGGAACACATAAATGAACAAACTTGGATTCAATGAAGTCACTTGCAGAGTGAACAGTCCACACTGACGTGGCTTCACTCATTTTTCTCCCACAACAAACCTTATCTGTTCCTGGAAACCCTCCATTGCACATGCATACTGAACCATTATTCGCTTATCCTATTGTTTATATATTATGCGATTAATCAGTGGCCTCCTTTCAGACCAACACACGCGTTGTTAGCACACACACATGTCTTAGTGTATGTCAGGGTTGGTCAGTTATTTTTTCCAACGGCTATGGCCTATATTACACATAGCTGCCACTTTCCCGCTTAACAGCGGAAACTCCGCTTCATCTAGCTTTTCCCGCTACTTTTCTCCTTACTCCGCTGGACCGCGCTCGGTTGCAAATTGCGATACTTTTTTACACGCGGAAAACACCGAACCGGGAGAGAGACGAAAACGCAGCTTGCTCATGTCCGCCCGTAGCTTTCTACTTCCGTTCTTCTAGGCCTAGCGCTAGTTTCACTTTGTTTATTGTGGAGCAACACAGTGTCGATCGGGCATCGGGACGTTAGCACGCCGAATTGTCATTGAAAACGGCGGAAATTCGAGAGAAATTGATGCAGAATGCAAAAATAAAAGGAGCTTCGCTTGCTGCACTTTGCGTTTGGTGCGATACAGAAATCGCGGCACTTGTGTACAATCAAACATTGCCATATGCTCAACATAGCACCATAACTTGTTCAGCCAACAAAATGTTATAATAGATGATAGATGACACAGGCCTGCGTTTGAAGGAATCAACCTTTTTGCACACTGTTTACTTGGTAGAGTTCATTGTTCAATGTAATGTATTTTCTTGGAATTTTCCAGCATTTTTCTGGTATGGCATCAAAGAAACTAAAATGCCTCTCGTTTGAAACCAAACTACTTTTGATAGAGAAAGTTGAATACATTATATATTACTTGTTCGGTGCCTATAATTATCTACACAAAACCTTGTGTTTTCTAAAACGAAGACTTGGATGTAAATAAATTGAAGGTCAAGCTGGACGACTTCGTTGAATCTGAGTTCCACTGTATATTGTTGTATTTCTTGTATGGTTGAAGGGAACCACTGTTAATGTTTTCCTTTCTCTCTTTTCTATTTTTTCTGTCCCCTTATTATCATACAACTCAATGCTGATGTCCCTCATGGATCTTTGTGATCCGTTCTTGAGCTTATTGCTTTTGGGAAAAATATGTGCATTATTTATATTGCTTCTGTGTACAGTCAAACCTGCCCTGATGGCCACCTGTACAAACGGCCACTTTCCATTTCCCCCCTTGCGTTTTTTCTATATAATTTAAGTGTGTGAAACGGGCACCTGTCCAACGCGGCCGCGGCCACCATATTTTAACACACAACCCCTATCACACTAAGCAATAACACCTGTCTTAGACGGCCACCTTTGTGACTCCATTACGTTTTGTCATTGTGCATTGGCCCCTGGCGTTGTGGGCGAGCCGTCATAATTCAATCCCTGTCGTTGTTGTTCGGTAGTCATTCCAACCGATCAGGTTGCGTAGGCCCCTCCCACTGTTGACCAATAGCTACCAATTTTCAGCTGCTGGTGAGGTAAGCGTGTGATCCCTCATAACCCATAAGCCCTGCCCAGAACTCATGCACAAATCATAAGTGAGATGAGTGGTCACTGTTTACCCAGTCTGTAACAAAGTAACAAAGGATGTCAACATAAACTTGTGACAGAAGCGTCGCTCATTTACTCTGAGTGGTGGCAACCCATGTGTTTGTTTTAACATGGCACTCGCTCTTCCTCGTCTGATACATTTCGTTTTATTGTCACCCTTGTGCAAAATCAGCAACAAAGTAAAAATTACAAACAAAATATAAACCAACAACAACAACAACAACAACAACAACAACAACAACAAAAACAACAACAATGCGGCTACTTTCGATTGTGACCTCAGATGGGAATGGTTTGTTTTCTTCATCTTGATCAGTTCTGCCTAAGATGGCCACCTGTCTTATACGGCCCCTTTTCCCCTTGACAATGGGTGGCCGTCTTACACAGGTTTGACTGTAGTCTCTGTAGGGTACTCTTCATTTTAAATTTTCAACAGAATTTCAGCTTCTCCAAAGAAGTCAGCCTCAAAACCAAACAGGAAAAGGAAAAGGAGAGATGACTCGGGGGAATATGATGGTATAGGTGAACAGCGTGAGTAGTCATTTTTTATTTGTTCTCAGTCAGTGGTTTTTAATTTGATTTGATTAGAACACCATTTCACCATAAAGTAGCAACGCCCATGGAAAGAGAAAGTCTTCAGTGTAATCTTTTTTATTGCTGCCTGAGAAAGAACTGTCTTGGTTCTAAGCATTGTTTTTATCTTTTTTAACCATTTGTCCAGTAATTAGAAAGTTACAGGGTTTTAATGGGCGTCAATACATTGGTTTACCCACTTAAAGAAAATTATTCTTAAAAAGTGGACCACTTTACAACAATTTCTGTAAGATTTTCAACCACAATTAACCGGAGAATTTGAATGAGACTTGGCAACTCACTGTGTTGTTTTATGAAAAAATTATGATTAGGAATGGAGTCCACAGACTATTATTTTGAGAAAGCGGGTTTGGTGAGGAGAGTATTTAATCTATTACACCTGTTTCATGAGATCTTTAAGAGTGTGTCGGAAGAAAGAGTAGGTGATGTCAACAATTTTTTTGAGGACTTTAAACAATGCCCGCCATAAAGTATAGTTCAATTTAAACTTAAATGTGGGGACTTTCGTGGCCTAGAGGTTAAGGTGTTGGCCTCTCATTCAAAGGTCCCGGCTTCCAATCCGGGTAGCGACCGAAGAATTTTCTTCTCTAAATTTGTCTCCTTTCACCTCATTTCCTGCTCTCAAGCAATATTCTGTCGTCTGCTTTCGTCTCCTCTTTCTGCCCCCACCCCCACACCTCCTTTGCCCCTTCCTCTGGGCTCCTGATTCTTTCTGCAGCCTTTCTACTGCTACTCCTTCGCTTCTTCTTACTGCTGTCTTTCAGCCACGCCCCTGTTCTTCTGGTAGGAAAGATCTACACCTAGCCTTCTTGGACAAGGGCGAAAACTCTCGGAGGGCCCGTGTGCAAGTTGCGCACGTTAAAGATCCTTTGGTGGTCTAAAATCGATAAGAGTAAGCTTTGGCCGCCACCCGGGCAAAATTCAAAATTTCCTACCAACTGAAAATATTAGGTGTGTCCTGCGCGCTCATATGACCTTATGCAGTTGCGAGCGCCATAAAACACTTTATAAAAACAAAAAACTTAAATGTGGGATATGACTTGAGTGATCATGCAGGGATTAGTAGGCTGCACACATTTGTCGAGGACATGTATAGAAATGGTTGATCTCTTGGCACAGCTGTTCTGTGTTTATAGTGGATGTTGTATTTTTTCATGACTGTATGAGTGTACAGTTTAAACATTGGTCCCTGTTTTGTCCTTTCAGAGACTGTGATAATGAAGCTGTTTGACCGTAGTGTGGACTTGGCTCAGTTCCCAGAGAGCAGTCCGCTTTATCCAGTGTGCAGAGCTTGGATTCATAACAGACCTCATGACAAAAGCCTTGGCACTTTAGCTGATAGGGCGTCGTCCCCAGATGTGAAAGTAAAAGAAGAAGAGGTATATTGACCACCGACTAACTAAGAGCACCAGGAGGTGTCAGTATTATTTGCCTACGAGAAGAGCTGGTAGCCGTTGATAGATCTAGTTTGTGTGGTAAACTTACAATAGCTTGCGATTTGTTTGTCATGCTGAATCTTTGCAGGTTGACATCATTTTATTGAAATCCAGGAATCCAGCTTTCTTCTAGTCTTTGCTTAAACAAAGGATATCCACTTGCAGATTTTCTTTTATTTACTGTGTAATCAGGAGACACCAATTTTATAAGTACACTTAGCCCAGGAAGCGATCCTAACGAGGAACGCATTGAATGTTTGTTTCGTGATTTGCTGGAATGTTGTATTTTTAATTCTAAAGATCAGTTACATTATAGTTTAGTACAATGAAAATAAGTTTGGTTGTACTAGTTTTCTTTTCCTGACATATTTGCATTTTTTTTCTTGATCATTTCATTTTTTTTTTGGTAATGAGTTAATAAAACATGATGGTATTTTAGTTATTATTTCCCCTGCCCTGAGAATCAAGGGCAAGTATCCGCAATCCCCAAAATGTGAACGGGTGAATAGTGAAAGACTTATTGTGGGTTGGATGTGGTTAACTGATCAGAAATAAATTTTTGGAAATAATGTTCAGTTTCCTTGCTCATAAAAACGAATCACTTTATTCTGTCCTGTAGAACATAATCTGTATTGCGACCAAAAAAGTGTCAAATTAAGTCTCTATTATAATCTGTGCCTTGAAATAGAAAACTAGCTCTCTTTTTTTGTTGTGATTCTGTTAGATTCATTTAGATCTAGATAACAGATCCAGATTGCGTATAGAATACTTATAAATTATCTAAGTTGTGTTGATGTGGATGTATGATATAAAGACTAGCCTTGAACCTAAATTTGATCTAATTTTGATCCCTTTGTCTGTGTTAGTTGTGGGTTGTCGATTCCCTCCTAAGAGGTGGACAATCTTATAGAAAACTTCAAATAGCCAAAAGTTACATCTATGATTTGTGCACTGCATGAGGCGCGCCCCCCCCCCCCCCCCCCCAAAAAAAAAATTAAAAAAATAAAAATTTCATGGTTTTGGATCTAAGCTTTGTAAAAGGACGACCAAAGTTGTAACAACTGGTTGTGGTGTCTTGATAACGTCAATTAAGTTTTCTCAATGTACTCTTACTTCAGCAGATCTTCATATAATATGTGCGTCCAAATTTGTGCTCGAATTGTATGTTTTCCTTTGTTTGTCAAACACTCCACTGACATTAAAATACTGCGATGTTTATAATGTATTCGCATTGTTTTGTACTCTTTTTTTCAGAGGAGTGATAGTTATTCCGATGTGTATGAATTGCCACTGCCCATAAAGTCGGAAGATGGCTGTTTGTATGATCTGCGTGTACCCGAAGCTGTTCCCCAGCCAGACGAAAGATTAAACATACATGCTGTGAGTGTGCTGTGTCATGGGTTGGGCTGTGCTGGGTTATTTAATTTTACAGTTTGCTGTCTCAGGTTTTTGTTGTTGTTGTATTTGACTAAAGTGACTGTGGGGGGGGGTGTTGATGGGCGCACTCAGGTGGTTTACTCCTTTTTTTCTATCAAACATCTGTTGCCCTTATTTATCCCCCTTTTTTCCCTTTGTATGTTACCCTCAAGTAACAACTCTAATCTTCAGCACTCATGTAACTTGTTTGAGTGGCAAGTGCTGTAAAACTCTCACTTGCACTAAAATGACTTCTTCTGATTTATGGTTTTTGAAAGCTCTTTTTAACTCAGTTTCCTTTTCCTTCTGCATGGCTTGTTAGGTTGATTGTCGGTTGCTTTTGACTAGTGTGTTTTTCCCTTCTGTTTCTTTCCGTCTACTGTATTTTTTGTTTAATTTGTTGTGTCACATGTGGCTTTATACTGTGAACTTGATCACACTGTCTCTTTCTTTCATGTCTTTGTGTAAGTGTCTGCATACATGCATACATTCTATTTTCATGCATACTTTTTGAATTTTGTTTATATGTGCCCAAGTCAAATTATGCGGAGCCTTATTTTTGTTTTGTTTTGTAAGCGTTATTCTCATATTGGTGTTGTGAATCCCAGATATAAACTTTCTGTCACGTTCATAATTTAGTCTTCAAAAAAGAAAAGGCTTCAGAGATGACTGGGTAAATTTTTTTTTATGCCTCTTTCCAAACATGACATGCAATTATGCTTCTATTGCATCTTTTGCTAAATGATATTTCATTTTTTTTTCAAGGATCCCCTGTCTGCACCTCCAGCAGAACATCTTTTGCTCAATCATATGGCCAGGTGGAAGGAAGTGAGGAACAGGTAAATATTTGAAGGGTAAAAGTGTGTAGTTGGTGGCTGCATGGTCTGGTGTGGCCTGCTTATTATACTTATTTTTTAGTACATGTTCAGTGGAGTTTTAACTGAACAGAGTGAATCCGAAAACAGTGGTAATAACATTCTTGATTTTTTTTTCTTCATTATTTGAGCAATTTGTCTTAGCGAAGAACATGGCTGAACTGAAGCAAAACCGGCAATTCTGCAGCTTTAGGTTTAAACAGACTTCACTGTATTACTTTTTTTGCCGATCTCTTCTTGAACGTTTTGGTGTTATGCCTGGTGTTTTTTCAGTCCCTGTTCAAGGTTATGCTGAAAGCAGAAACAGCCATAGGCTGTGCTTTTACAAAATAAAACAATGTTTTGTTAATGACTTTGATAAAATGCACCAGTCCATTCCAAATTTTGACACTAAACATGTTATGATTAAAGCAGCCTGCTTCCTGCATGCCAACATTTGTGTCATGCATGCTTTAAAAAAAAAAAAAAAACCCAACTTGTGAATGATAGTGCTTGAATATGTAATAGGCTGCCATGATGTATTAGGGGTGGAAATTTTCCGTAAATTTTTGGAAATCCATAATTTGATTTGTTCTATCATTTTTCGTAAGTGTCCTTTCAATGGTGTGTCATTCTACCCTGTGTACTAATCCTCTATTGAATAAGTGTATTTATCCAAATCTGTTTAGCCCGCGAATAGTTCAGTAAATTTTGGACTGATCAGTTTCCATCCCTGGTGTATGTCCTTGGGGATGGGTGGGTGCTGTGAATGAACAGGGTTAGCCAAAGGTAATTATTGATATCATTGAATAATGTGAGCTTGCGGAGGGAAGGGATACTCAATACATGATTTTGAACCTGCACTTTATGTTTGAATTTAATACGTTATAAATAGTCAAAGCAAACATAAGTCGATTATCTTTTATTTCTCCCACAGGTGGCATGAAGCAAGCGTGATGAATGAAATGCAGTATGCCAGCAGTATCCAGGTGCTGAAAGAAATGTTTGAGAGGAACATGGCAGACAGTATGTGATGAATGGATGCTAGTCTTCTAGTGCAATTTCCTCACTGTTGTAGGAATAATGAGTAATTCTGTTGCTTCTTCCTTTCAGTATGAGTAAAAGAAGTGGAGTTACTCAGTTTCATTGCTACGCGGAAGATACATTGTCTTATGGCAAACAGTTTGTGACAGATAGATGCTAGCGTTTGTTATAAAAATATGTTGTTTCTTTGCTGAAAGTCTGTGATGGATAGATGTGGCAATATGTTTTTTCTTTGCACAAACTGACGTATTGGATGAATGCTAATGTTTTGCCTGTATGGTATATTGTTTCATGGCAGGCGATATTGATGAAGGCAAGGTTTTGCTGTACTGTATATTTTGATATAAGAAACAGTAGTGTATGGTTGGTGGATGCAAGTGGTATATTATCTGCAAGCTGTTCAAATGTTCTAAGGTCAGAAAGAAACATTTCTCAGCAGGAGAGGGAATAAAAGTTGAGTTTTTCTTTAAAATTTCACCTTCATTATGTATCTCTTGTATATTATTATTATTTTTTCAATGTTTAGAATTTGATTTGCCACAAAATATTTAATGAGCAATTGCAACTGATACCACAGATTAAGAAACGGAAATAAAACGATATTTCAAAATTTTGGGCTTAGTAGGCCTACATTTGATTTGAACAGCTGGCTGACGATATACATTTCTTTTAGCCCCTTCAATGCCACATTGACATACCTGGTACGGGACTTCTTGGAAGTGCGCAATTTTCCAGATCTTAACAACATGGAATGCAAGACCCATCTTGTAGAAATGGTAAAAGTATCGGGTACTAGAATGGTCCTACATTAGAAGAAATGAACCCAACTTTTGGAGCAAACTGATCAACAGGAAATGGATGTAGAAATCAGAAATTAAAAAAATGGAAGTGGATTGGACATGCCTTTGAGAAAACATTACCCACCAAGCCTTATGACGGAATCCACAAGGAAAGACAGAGAAGAAGGCCTTAAAGTTCTGGGAAGAGGGACTTGCATTTGTAGATTTGGACCTAAAGAAGATGAGATATAACTGGACAGAGGTGGAGACTATAGGCCAGGACAGAAGTAGATAGCAAACTTTTGTTGGTGGTCTATATTCTGGCATGAGAAAGGATGATGTTAACTTGAGCATGCATATGAGGGAATGTGTTCTTTTGAGAGAGGGTTAGGGACAGAGTGAGAGAGTGCATTTATTTGTGCACCATGTCGCAAAATATTTCTCCACAAATCATTTTGACCGCCGGTAATAGATTTTCTTTTTAAAAGCATATTGTTATTTAACTGTTTGATTTTTTGTCAGGGCAATACTATTGCTGCTACCATGCTATAAAAGTGTAAGCTATTATCAGAATTGCAGTAGAGAAATGTCGCAGCAAATTTGCCAAGTTTAATTTTAGGCTTTTCTGACTTTGAGATTTTCCTGTAGTTGACATTTCGTCATCTCAGAACTATTTTGTCCAAAGTGGACTCAACTACAGAGTGCAGTTTGGACAAAATAGTTCTGAGGTGATGAATTATCTAGTAAATTAGTGGACTTTTGAAGCACATAATAAAAAAAACCGATACCAAACCAAGAGGCTGTCACCATGATTTTATGCCCAAAAAAATTCTGAAATTATGCAAACTGAGCCCAAAAATGTGAAATATGCGATTCTGTTAATTTTAACAAAGAGTAATAAAGGAATACAATCAGAAATTGTGCAAAAAATGATCAAATTTTGCTAAATTATGCAGGGCGCATAAAACCACGGAGACAGAAGAAGCTAACTCGTAGGAGTTGAATTATGTCTCTTAAAATCCGCCCAAGAAAACGCTTCATAATTTCCAGACGAACATCATGTATGTTAATTTTTTTATTTAATGTAAAAAAATCTTGTCAAGCGGGGTTATTATTTTTCTCTTTGTGTTGTTCATCATGGATGGAGCGAAAGAAGATTCTTTTATGAAATAACTCATGTGTGTGTGTGTTGAAGTGCCTGTAAATGTTTGAAGGAATGTGAAAGTGATGAGAAAGTTAGGAGGGGGATTTTATGGGGATCGTGAAAGTTTGAGAGGTGATCTGATGTGTGTGTTGAAGTGCCTGTAAATGTTTGAAGGAATGTGAAAGTGATGAGAAAGTTAGGAGGGGGATTTTATGGGGATCGTGAAAGTTTGAGAGGTGATCTGATGTGTGTGTTGAAGTGCCTGTAAATGTTTGAAGGATGAGAATTCAGTCCTGTCTGAAGCAATTAAATTTATTTTGGATTACTTTTCCGTTTGAGTATTTTGATTTTGTGGATGTTTTGATTTTAAAATGTGGGTGGTTGGCGGATGCTCTGGTTTGGTTTGCTCCTTCTTTCCTATCAAACATCTATCGTCCTTATCTCCCCTTCTTATTTTTTATGTTTTTAACTCTCTTGTAACACCTCTAATCTTCTGGCGCTCATACGACCTTATGCAGTTGCGAGCGCCGTAAAACCTCTACTAATAAAAATATCTGTCATCCTTATATCTCTCCTCCTTCTGTTTTTATGTTTGTTCCTCTCTTGTAACAGTAACTCCTCTAATCTTCAGCACTCTGTGACCTTTTTGTGTTGCAAGTGCTGTAAAAGTCTTACTCTTACTAAAACTAAACGAATCAAAAATAAATTCTAATTTGCCTGGTCACTCTACTCTTGTGTTCATAGAAAAAAATAATTTTTGTCCTTGTGTGCCTGTGACTGTGAGATCCTGCCTTCTGTCTGTCTGTCTCTCTCTCTCTCTGTCTGTCTGTCTCTGTCTCTGTCTCTGTCTCTCTCTCTCCCTCTCTCTCTCTCTCTCTCTCTCTCTCTCTCTCTCTCTCTCTCTCTCTTTTTACCTATTTTTTTTAGTTCTAGTCTTGTCTGTCTTTCTCTGCCCCCTCCCCCCACCCCACTTTCTGCTTCTGTCTGTCTCTTTCATTGATTTATATTAGTATGGTTATTTACAATATCCTTACATTTTCCCAGCTGTGAAAGAATTGTAGGCGGGTGCTCTGGTGTGGTTTGCTTTTTCTTTCCTATCAAACATGTATCGTCCTTATCTCCCCTTCTTCTTTTTTATGTTTGTTACTCTCTTGTAACACCTCTAATCTTCTGGCGCTCATATGACCATATGCAGTTGCGAGTGCCGTAAAACCTCTACTAAAACTAAAACTAAAAAGAATTGTAATTAGTTTTACTAATCACTAGTATTTGACAATGAATTATGTACTTATGTGGAAAACATCGTATCAATAACCCAACACCTCTGCTTTTTTTCTTGTGAGCACATTTTGCTTTCAGGAGTTTATCCAATAAGTCACTTTCTTTTTAAAAAAGTGCCATTATATCCGTTCAAAACCATTGTCTTTAACTCGGCACACCTTAACTTTGTTTCAAGTTCTCATAGCCTGCTCGATTTAGATATATGATGTTGTTATCGATCCAGCAACAGCTGGGCTCTCGCCCTTCTGTCCAATGCCATGTAGTGATAAGTGCAGGTCTGCTGCAGTTGCTGTAATGTTCCATAGAGTGTGTTGTCTATGTTAGGTCTCGGAGGGAAAAGGGTAGCTCTGATGTCATTTAGGGCTGTGCAGTGGAACAGGTGATGCTCCACAGTCTCATATGCATAGTCACACAAGGGACACATTGGGGGTAGTTCCGGGTTTATTCTGTTCAGGTGGAAGTTGAGCTGTATATGTTCTGTTCGTAGGCGGAAGATCGTGGTCTGTTTCTTTCTCTGAAGGCGGTTGATATTGTCATTCCTTTTTGTTGTGGTCATATGTTTGAAAATTGCTCTGCCTGTCTTTCCCAGGGCCCATCTGTTCATCCAATCTTGTTTGTTGTTGCTTTTGATGATTTGTTTTGCAGTGTTGTATGAAGTTGGAGTGTTGGGTTGTTCCTGTCTAGATCCCCGTTTGGCAAGTGTGTCTGCTCTGTCATTTCCAGGTATGTCTCAGTGTCCGGGGACCCACTGCATTACTAGGTTGATGCCACAGAATGTTAACAGATGATGGGATCCAAACAGTAGGCCTATATGGGTCAAATCTTGGTTTAGGTGGTGATCATTTTCTATGGCTTGTAATACTGATAGTGAGTCAGTGAAAATCACAATACTCTGTGCTTTTCCAGGATGAGTGTCAAAAACTGCGGAGATGGTACAAGATATGATAAAACGGTACATTCTAATGCTTTGCATTTCGCACCCTATATATTATTTTTGTCTTCCCTCTAGAAATTAACTCTGGTGTCTGTGGTTCTTTGCTGTTGCATGCAGACGACGTGAATTCAATTCCCGAGTGGGGAAGTGGGTGGTTGGCGGGTGCTCTGGTGTGGTTTGCTTCTTCTTTCTTATCAAACATCTATCGTCGTTATCTTCTCTCCTTCTTTTTTGTGTTTGTTACTCCTCTAATCTTCGGCACTTTTTTGGCTTTATGGTTTTGCAAGTGCCATAAAACACTTACTGAAACTAAACGAGTGGGGAAGTTTAAAAAAAATGGAGTCTTTCCGTCTGTCTGCTTGGATGTTGTATCTCTCTCATCCCAGGCTGGCCCTGACAGGGAAAGTTCAACCAGGCTAGTTTGTCTGGTTGAGTGACCATAATCGTGTTGACAGGAGTTAAAGACATTACTAAACACTCACCGTGCATACATGTAATTAGATTTAACTTTTCGGAGATTCCATCTGTGGGTGGTTAGCGGGTGCCCCGGTGTGGTTTTCTTCTTTTTACCTATCAAACATCTATAGTCCTTATCTCTCCTCCTTCTTTTTTGTTTGTTGCTCTCTTGCAACACCTCTAATCTTCGGCGCCTATATGACCTTATTGTCTTACAAATGCCGTAAAACTCTTTCTAAAATTTAATAAAGAAAAAAAATTCCATCCAGGTCAATTCGCTATCTCATAATTTTTTGGGGGTAATTGTTTTATGGTGCTCGCAACTGCATCAGGTCACGTGAGCGTGCTGGACACATTTAAACATTTTCAATTTGGTAGGACATTTTCAATTTGGTAGGAATTAATTTTGAATTTGGCCCAGGTGGCACCAAAGTCTACTCTTAGTCTTATCGATTTTACACCACCAAGGATCTTAATCATGGGCAACTTGCACACGGGATCTCCTAGATTTTTCGCCCTTTTCCGAGAGGGCTAGGTGTTAGATTTTACCTACCCTAAGGTCAGGGGTGCGACTGAAAGACAGCAGTAAGATTAGTAAGAAGGAGTGTCTAAAAGTAAAAATGCTGCAGAAAGAGTCAGGAGCCCAGAGGAGATTGCGAGGGGGTGGGGGTGGGGGGCAGAAATTGGAGACGAAAGCAGGCGATAGAACATACCTCAGAATTACAAAATTCTGTCTGCCTGCTCAGTACCTATAAGTACTACTTACTTATTTTTACTTTTTCATCCTCTGTTGCTGTTAAGCGTCGAGGGGAGAAGCAGTTTTCTATGGTTGGCCGACTCCGCAGCTCTTTCAGTTGTGATATGTTTTCTCAGGGTTTCCTTGACACCCTCGATCCACGTTTTGCATGGCCTTCCTCTTCATTTATAGCCTGAGTGCTTCGTGTTGTAGGCTCTCGAGGCTGGCTGGCCAGGTGACATACATAACAGGTGACCAAACCAGTTTATTCTCTGTCTTTCTATGTAATGAAGGCAGGACTCATCGCCGATAGCTGCTCTTACTTCATTTCTCTGCCTGTCTCGTCTTGTGATGTTAAGGGTTTTGCGGAGACATTTTATTTCGTATGCGGTGATTTTGATTTCATGGGTTTTACTTAATGTCCAGGTCTAGCACTGGCAGTGGTAGCATAATGTTGGTTTGAAAATTGAGGTGATAACAGGTAAGCTGTCTCTTTGTGTCCATGGAGATGTTTGGATGAGATAGTGCTAGCTTGTAGGTAACAGCGTTGACTTTTTGAGTTCGAATTTCTATTTCTCTGTCTATGGACCCGTTTTCAGAAAAAGTACTGCCAAGATATTTAAACTCCTTCACATGTTTCAGTTGTTTACTATTGACATGGATGTTCAGGGGACTACGGTTTCGGCTCGCTTACATAACTTATGTTTTTTACGTGCTTTTTTCCTGTTAAATTTCTCACAGCTGTTGTTCAGTTCAGTAGTGTGATTTTGGAGGCTTTGTTGGTTTGGATGAATAAGACATTGGTCGTCTGCGAATAAGAAGTTCATTTAGGCTTTATGGGCTTTGGTTTGCGTCTTGCGTTATAGTTATTGTGTCCTTATTATATATTACAAACAGGAGGGGAGATAGAACGCATCCATGTCGTACTCCAGATCTTTCTCTGAACCAGTCTGTATTGCCTTCCTTTGTTCTTACTGAGCTTCTGCTGTTGGTGTAGTGTATGGGGCTCTGACTTTATCTAGCATTTGTCCTCCTATGAGTGTTTTGGGAACACAAGGTGTTAAGCTTTTTCGAATGCAGTTCTTTGAATGTCTTGATAACGACTCTGAATAATCGTACGATTTTGATAGAGCAGATAGAGTAATTGATTTCTGACCTCATGGTCTTCGTAACTCAAAAGAACCAAAAAGGTCAGAACTTTGTAATACAATTCTAAGGTAACAATTTACAGGCAACGCTTTGTTCCATTGTCTGCTCGCACATAAACATGAAAGCGACAACAAGGAGTTATAAGGGAAGCGAGAGAGAAGGACGCACGGGCGTCCGTCAAGACCTAGTGGATGGGTTGGCAGCGCTCGCTCACTGCCGCAGACCGAGAAGCGAGGGGTGAGCGGGAGACGGACGGAGAGAGAGAGAGAGAGAGGGAGAGAGAGAGAGAGAGAGAGAGAGAGAGAGAGAGAGAGAGAGAGAGAGAGATTTTTGTGAATGAAGAAACGTGGACTGAACAGGCAATGCGGGCGATATTCAAACCTGCTCAACCCAGCGTGGTTGTTATCTGAGTTATCAGAGCTGAGGTAGAGAGGAGAAGGCTCATAGCAGTGACATACATTTTATAGGAACATCAATAATTATTCTTCCTTATATGGTCAATCTTTTCCGACCGTTGAACTAAAGGTTTTTATTTCCTCCCCGAAATCAAAGTGAAACTTTCTTTGCCTGTAAATGCTTTAAAGAGAAAATTTATTAACTTAAACTTAAAGTTGTATTTTGTAAAATCGTTTTGGTAATTGTCACGAGGAGAATTTGTAAACAGAATGGTCAGTTACTTGTGATAGTTTTGAAAGTGTCTTCAGCAATTACATATTCAAGAAGTGCACTGGAATATGATTTTTTACTGTGGATATCCCAAACTCATCTTCTGA